AAGCAAAAAAATGCACAATGTACAAACATATAAGAATAAAGAAACTGAGATGACTGAGCCGAGTAACAGAGTGGATATACATACATTTATATACTTTTGGTATGACTAATTGCAACCAAAATACGATGAGTACATATACGTGTTATAGCAGCCCTATATACAAAACTTGAACGTTCTGAGGCTACTCGTTTTTGAGTTATGCGAGATACGTACGTACGCACAGGAGTCATGAAAAATTCTCTTCAGAATTAATTTTAAATCAGTTTTATAATTTTTTTGGGGGGGAGAAAGAGTCCTTTATTCTGTCCTTACATAAAGATGTCAAGCAAAAACATTGTTAAATTACATTCGATAGCGGTAAAAATAGATATTTTCATTAAATGATGCCTGAAACTTTTCACGATTACAATACTTCCTTTTTACTTCATACAAGGAAGTAAAAAATGCAATATAAGAGAATCTTTAAGAACAAATTTGTTAATGTGTAGTGATAATCATAAAGAATAAACACTTTTGAGATGATTTTCAAGACAGTTATAAGACAATAGAAGGAACTAACTTTTTTTTATTAATATCAGAATAGGTAATCATATTCTCACATGCTTTGTAGAGACATTAGGTATTTTTTGGAAGCAGGAGAAGTGAAAAATGAGCAACACCGTTGCTGGGAATCGAACCACAGACCTCTGGAATACGCGTACAGTGTGCAGACCACTACACTACAAAGGCACGCTAAGAAGGCGGGAGAAATACCTTATATACTCCCACTTTTAAAGGGCAACTGGGGGTTTAGGGGACCCAGTCCTGGGTGTGGAGAATCATCATCCGAGACCCTTTTAGTTTGAGCGCCACTGCAGAGACATTAAGTATTTTTTTGAAGCAGGAGAAGAGGAAAATGAGCAACACCTTTGCCGGGAATCGAACCATGGACCTCTGGAATACGCTCCCAGCGTGCAGACCACTACACTACGAAGGCACACTAAGAAGGTGAGAGAAATACCTTATATTTAAACAAAAATGTTGATTTCTTTTCTTAAATCGTTTACTAACGTTGTTATAAACTTGCCACCGTCTGTAAATCGGTAGCAACTGAAGGATTTTGCAGTTAGATATTTGAACTATCTCTTCATTTTATTCTCATGAATGAACTCAGCCCTGGCCAGGGATATGTTCTTTTAAAGGAGAGTAACAGCAACAGCAATGTCATGTTAAAAATATATAAATTAATTTTAGAATGGAAAGATTTTGTTGTACTGTTATCTAATTTTTAAACACCTGGAAGAAATGTTATTATTTTCATCTAGCGAGAAATCTCATCCATTTTCCATAAAAAAATTACTAATAAATTCCAGAGCATGTTATTACTACTATGCAATGCATATGATGTTTTATTTACCTTCGATATTTTTAACACATCTTTGCCCAATACAGCAAAATTTAAAAAGCCTTTTTATCTGGATTCCTTAGCAATATTTTTCAATAAGCATTTCTTCCTACCATGAATGTCATAAATAAAATAGTTTTCTAACGTCTTATAATAACGGTCAATTGCAAAATTCAAACCATTCATTTTATAACTCAGAGTGAAAAAAAAAAAAAAAAGAATTATATCACCTGAAGAATTACCACAAGTTCTATTCAAATACTATAATAAATCTAAAATAATAATAATAATAATAAAAAAAAAAGATAAAAATCTGAAAGGTTCCCGATTTTAAATTATGTTCAAAAGGGCTTTTTTTAACATTTTGTCTGTTACCTTTATTTATTAAATATCACATTCTTCGCACATGAACCATAAAATTCAGTTCAAGAGCAATATTGCAAACTAGTTTTAAATTGAGCATATCTTTAGAATTTCCGATACAGAGTCCCGCGTGCTGGAGATAAATATGTTTTTTTGGTACAATGTTGCCATTGCTCACTTTGAAATCCTCGAGTTTGTTAATAATAATTTGTTTATTAATTAATTAATTAATTGATTAAGTTTTACAAAATATGAAATTGATAATAAAACAAATTCCATATTTCAAATTTGGGCTTCCACATGCCCATATTCACAGTAGGATTGCATCATTCAAATTTCGATGGCTCTATTTACCATTGTTTTATCCCAATGCAAGAAATATGCATACATTTAAGTAGATTTTTTATTATTTAATTTCTTCAAATATAATGCAGGACTTTACCACTTGGTGACAACAGTTTGAAAAGTGAAACGGACATTTATAGTAAACCAACACAAAATCACAAAACGAAAACAGTAGTCCTTCAGGGACAAAGCACCTTTAAACTAACAATTTATAAAATAAACAAATAAAAAAGAAACAGTTTTTCACAGATGATTCAGCCTCGCTTACCTAATGCGCATGTGCTACTAATTCAGTTCTCACTTCGCGGCAAGGCAAAAATACATAAAAATTCGAAATATTTTCATTAAAATTTGAAAGCTATAGAAAAACATAAAACACCAAACACAGTTAAAACAATTTAAAAAAAACAATTCTTATAATCAAATTTAGTTTCTACGCCAAAACAAGCTAATAACTTATATGTTAAATCCAGAATGAATTGAGCATAACTTAATTCGCAATAATAAAAGACAATGTTACTTAGTTTAGTTTCTCTAGATTGGCAACAAATCCATTAGTCTGATAAGTTTCAAATGTAAACAAACATGGCTGCCAAGGTAATCAGAAATTAGGCTTAACTGCACTTCAGAAACTTTTAAATTGTTGATAATTCCACAATTATTGCATGCAGGTTAACTAAAGGCATAAAAATCTTAACCAGAACAACATAATTTCAATCATTTTTAAAGCAAAAAATGTGCAATTTACAAACAAACATATAAGAATAAAGAAACTGAGCTCACTGAGCCGAGTAATATATATATATACTCTTGGTGCAGCCGATTGCAACCAAAATGGGAGTTGCATATCTACATGTTATAGCATCCGTATGTACAAAATTTCAAAATTCTGAGGCTACTCATTTTTGAGTTATGCGAGATACGTACATATGAACATACAAACACCACGAAAAAAATCTTCAGAATTCATTTTAAATCAGTTTTATAACTTTTGGGGGGAAAGAGTCTTTTATTCTGTCCTTACGTACAGATGTCATGCAAAAACACTGTTAAATTGCATTCAATATCAGTCAAAATGGACATTTTCGTTGAAATATGATTGATACCCGAAATTTTTTGCAATTACAATACCTCCTTTTAACTTCATACAAGGAAGTAAAAATTGTGAAAAAACCTACCAGTGCAATGTGATTGTATGTGTTTCGGTAGATATTTTTCAAATTTTTTAAGTTTAATTTATGGTTTACACATTTTAATTTCTTATTTAATATAGTGTTTTGCTTGTCTGATTTCATGTTTTCTAGTAGCAAATATTTTATTTTGTATTCATTTTCAATTTGAAATTTTTCTAACGTTTTAAGCTTTATGATTAGTTAGCTTGATTTTCTTCATTGTTTATCATGCGAAACAAAAATGTTTAGCATTGTTACCTGTGAAAATTTGCAAATACAGTCAAAAGTCTTTAATCCGGACTCGTCGGGACTTCAGCGATTCAGGATTATCGATTTTTCCGGATTATAGATCATCAGTTTAAATCTGGTAAGATGGCATGCAGAAATTATAAAATTAAAAATATGAAACCGTAATTTATAAAATAATGAGCAAGTATGACCTAAAGGGTATCAAAATTTACAAAAAAAGAAGCTTAATATTTGTTTACTTTATTACACATTTCTTTCAACGCGCACATGCGTACCTTACGCATAGACGAAATTAAAATTGCAACCAGAAAACTATTTGATTTGTATTCGTGATATTTATAATGACGAGAATTTGATTTAAATCATATCAAAGTTGGAGTACATCGAGATTAAAACTACATTTAGTAAGGAATTATAAGCCGAATAAAATAAAACATCTGCCCTGAAGATAACGATAGTGCTGACAGATCAACTTCCAGTTCATTGCGTGCTGCGACGTCCCCCCCCCCGGGCAGAGCAGTGTGAAATTGATAAACAGATTTCGGACGTTTTTTAAACAAAGGATATACCTTTATCCATTTTTTGGAGCAATTTGTTTTTTTGTTTGATTTATATCGAAACATACTTTCGTTTTCTAGATCCTTTGGGAGCTCCAGCATCGGAAATTCTATTTGACAAAATCGAAAGTTCAAGCTTACTTTTATAAAATTGCTCTTACAGTCTGCAAAAAATAATAAGCCGGATCCAATTCGAAGATTAAGGTACAACGCAATCATCAACATTAACTGAAATAGATAATTAGATAATTTTAGCTTATACCGTCCGTTATATATTAAACACGCACGCGAAAATGTTGCACAGACGCATATGCGCAGTCGTAAATGTCTAAAACGCCTATGAGCATGCGTCAACACGGCGCATGCACAGAAAGATTTTAGCATTGAGGTCCGAATTAACGACTTTTGACTGTATAAGGCTGATTTTTGTTGTTTGACTTCTAAATTAACATTTGTTCTGCATGTTATTTTAACCTAAGTGCAAATAAATCTTAATTTACAAATAACTAAAAGACACCATAACCAGCAAGAATACAGAATCACTAATAAATACTAAAATGTATTAATATTGTTTATTCAAAATATTCTTTAGTAAACTACTATAATTTTCAGTCATATATACGATCAAGAATTGGGTGGTTAAGATTACTTCAGCTAAGGCAGTGGAACCCAAAATTATAAAGTTTGTTATTCATGTTATTATTGCTGACATCCATAATAATTAATGCAATAACTATTTTACTATTCATATTACTTTTTATGCTTTACTAAACAGACATTTCAGAAATTGAAAATTTCTGCTGTGAAATGTGATTTCCTTTAAATTTAATCACAACATTATACTAAAGACACAGGTGTTCACTGTTACTAATTTTGAAGCTAATTCTTAATACACAAAAAATGCATAAAAATAAAATAAAATATGCTAACCTGAAGCATGTGCTCTTCTTCTAGTTCTTTTTCAACTCTGGAATAGACTTTCCTAAATCGTGGAGAGCAAGATGAGAAACTACTGAACAAAGCACTCTCATCTGGGTCATCCATATCTTCAGAATCATCAACTTCATGACAATATCTATCAGCTCGAGCTATTTATCAGGAAACAATAAGGGAAGAATTAACAACTAATGATGAAGTATTATCAATGCATTTTTGAAAATATACTCAATATTCAGTAACAATCTTTCCTTTTGAATTTATCATTCAATGCTAAAGTATACATATAACTGAATACAATTTAAAATTCTACAAGGGTTATTAAAAAAATAATCTACAAAATTGGTCAATACAGTAGGTGCCACTTAACCCATTAGCTGCTGGTGTTGCGTTGATGCAACAGTCAAAATAAATGCGTATATACCTAACATATTTTATACCAACAGATGATTTTGTGTAGGGAATATTACGAAGATTATTTCTGTAAAAAAATATTTGCCTTCAACAATCGTTTTGTTTATAATAATTAATCTCATAACTTAAGCAAAATTTTCGAAGGGTATTTTTTGCTGAAAATATTTAACGAAAGAATCGTCGTCTTTATAGTGATCTTTTTAGTCAAGGTCACTGTTTATCGAACATAATCAGTCAGATGTTTATATTTGTGTTAGGAAGAGGGAAAACAGGCGTTGCGCGACGCAACGTCAGCAGGAAAACGGGAGTCAATCTCGTTTTTTCATTCCTTTCCTGTTCTGGTTGCGTACAAATGCCTAGAACGAGGTATCTACATTAGAAGAAGCCCTTCAAAGATTTTTTGATTAAGAAACAGATGATGATAATGTTAATAATGACCAGAATAAACGATATTGTTGTGTTCCCCCAGAAATTGCAGAAGCTAGTTACGAAGAAGAAAAGAATGGCAATGTTTTAAATAATGATAATGATATTTTACCAAATGATACTGCTGGGGAAGTTGAAATTCACGTAAAAAGTAAGTTTCAGCCTTCTAAAAGCAGTTATAGTCTTAAAAGTCTTTAAGTTTAAGAAGCAGAAGACTGAAATCTTGAAGTGGATAAAAAAGGAACTTTTAGTTATGTCTCAGGAAGAACATGAAGAAAGAGATAGAAGAGAAATTATAAAAGACAAAATACAAGGTAAAAACTAGTGCACAGATTTTCGATTTTCTTTTTGGTTTAGACATTTACTCTCTTCTCGTTGAACAGACAAATATATACGCTCAGCCTCCCCCCCCAAAGAAAGCCCACAATTTATTGCATCTGAAGCCTATATGAGAAGATTTATTGAAATATTATTGCTTACAGGATATCATTCTTTACCTCAAGAAAAAATGTATTGCTTTTTTGATAAGGACATTTCCGTTCCTGTTGTACGAGAATCGATATCACGTTTGCAGTACAGGAATATGAAGCAGAATTTGCATTTGACAATACTGATAAATTATATGAGGTGAGACCATATCTAAACTTACTAAATATCACCACTTTTTTTTACTACTGGAAATATAAAGTATCTTTTGGATTTCAGACGTGAGAATGCATCATTCCTTTTGCAAACTCCTATTGAGAGTGTAGAGTTAGCCAGAAATAGATCAGCAACAGGAAGACCTAGTAAATTCAGCATTCAAAAACCATTGCATGGAGATGGTAGACATTTTATCATAAAGTCCGTTGATAACAAAAGACTTTGTTGTAAAGAGTACCATAGCCAGACTGTTTATAGATGCAAAGTATGTAATGTAGCTTTACATCATGATTGTAATCAAGCTTTTCATGCTTGAATCTTTCAATTGAAATAATCTGTATTTGTAAAAGAAATATAATGTATATTTTAATATTAATTACAAGTAAAGTGATTTGCAGATTTATATAAAACGTTATACAGCTAAAAAGTAATCCTGTGCTCCACTCGAAAGAAAATATCAATGAGTACAATCCTACTCACTAAACATCCGTAGTCTTATTCCGCTGACATGGCGCGAAACGCAACACTCGCTTTTTCCACAGGTAAGAGCATTTTTTTTATTTTCAATGTAAATTTATGTTATAAATGCTTAATTTAATATTAGTTATTATTTTCATGAGAAAAGAAACATTTCTTGTAGTTTTGGTGGTTAATGGGTTAATGTGCAGCTGATGTTTTCATTCAAATTCTGTTAATGAATTGCTGAAGTCCCGCCCATTTGTATACAAAAACGTGGAAAATACATCACTTATAGTGTTCAACATTAGTTAACACAATTAAAATATTGCAGAATATTGCAGAATAAACTTTTAAAGTTTAAGTAGAATCGCCAAATAAAAGATAAAATTGCCAAATACGATCAAAATCAAGTATAGAAACTGCCAAATGACAGCGACATGTTGGCAAGTAAGAAATTAAGTCAACAAACAGCTTGTTCTGGTTTAAGACTACCATGTGCAAAGAAAGAAGTCCATTTTCTAAGTTTTAGAAAGATTCACTGGATTCATCAGAATTAGCAAATAATAAAAAGAAATTCCTTTTGCATGCTAGAATATCTGAAAAATAACAAGTTGACGCATCACTGATAGAAGAAAATATCTGCCAATCGTTTTCTAAAAAAAAGTCCAAGAACTTCATGTCGTAAATTATCTGAAGAAAAAAAATTATTATTTAATTAATGTTATCAAAATAGTCCTGAAAATGTGATGACATGAAACTGCACCAACTGTATTTTTGAAATTTAAAACAGCAATGAAACATGAAAAAACAAATGAATAATAATCCATTTTACATAGCAAATACACGAACTGTGCTCAGCAAATGCTCCACTAAGTCCTGGAATAGGATTTTATACACTGCGAAACCTAGGATGAGAAATTACTCAAACATTAGCATTTGAAACATTCCTAAATTCACAAGTTTAAAGTTTAATGAGAGTATCTATCTGTTTCAGCTTACTACAACAGATAATTAAACTGCAAAATCCACCATGGAAGAAACACACTTAATAGCCCAACATGATAAGTGAGCAATGGATAAGATGGTAAAGGTCAGTAACAGTATGGAAGATTTTACAATGCTCCATCTTAAGACCATTTAATCACCTGCGCTATGACTAAACTTCACGGTTGCGGTGCCGTGCGTTACAATATAACAAGCGATAAAGTGTCTCATTTACACAGCTCCGCGTCTGCGAGTGCAATCCAGAGCTGTAACTCGAGAAATAAACAATCTCATTGTTAGGAGACATGTGCACCACGTTATTTTTATTTTTGCAATAAATGTCTATCGAAGTGGTGTTCACGTCGTCCGCGGTTTGAGACAAAAGCATCTCGACGTGCGTGGCATGTCTTTTTAGCGCAAATGGTTAAACTATGCTATTCACTACTGATATACATATAACTTAAAATAAAAAATAAATAAAACAATAAATAAGTATAAAGCATCAGTGGCAACGATCTTTAAGGTCTCTTTCTGTTATTTATGTAGACTTCTCTTTTTCAGGTGTTAGATTGGAACAGAAATTAATTTTATACGAGGGCCATCCAGGAAGTAGATTACGTTTCCGTCCGTGTCCGCTAGGGGCGGGGCTAGCGCGGCCATCTTGGGGTCAGAGCGTTGCGCAGCTCAGTCTGCATCTAGCCGTGCTAGTGAGAGGTTCGTGCTGTGCTCCGTTCAGATACTGTGACGGTTTGAAATGTCTGCGTTAATTGAAAATCCCGCAAGCTGCGAGGTGCGCTCAGTAATAAGGTTTCTGACTGCAAAAAACTGTAAACCGATAGAAATCTATCGGCAGCTTCGTGAAGTGTATGGGGACAACATTATCACTGAAGATGGAGTGCGTCAGGGGTCATAAGATTTCAAAATGGCCGAACCAATGTTCACGACGAAGATCGAAGTGGGAGACCCAGCATAGTGACCGCCGAACTTCTCGAAAAAGTCGATGCTAAAGTCCGTGAAAATCGAAATTTCACAATAACGGAACTTTCTTTGAGTTTTCCACACAATTTTCGCGACGAAGTTTGTTGCACGAAATCATCAGCGAAAAGCTTGGTTACCACAAGTTTTGTGCAAGATGGATTCCAAAAATCTTGACAGAGGACCACAAAAATCAGCGAATGGCTGCAGCGTTGAACTTTTTGGACGCTTACCATAAGGATGGTGACTCTTTACTCGATCGCATCGTTACTGGGGACGAAACATGGGTGAAACATGTGAACTGTGAAACGAAATTGCAATCAATGCAGTGGGGGCACACAAGTTCTCCCCAAAAACCCAAGAAATGCATGCAAACAATGTCGGCAAGGAAGATGATGGCGACTGTTTTTTGGGACAGAAAAGGTGTAATTTTGGTGGACTTCCTGGAAAGAGGCACTACAATAAACTCTCAAAGGTATTGCCAACCCAAATTCCAAAACTCAGAAGAGCAATTCAAAACAAGCGCAGAGGAATGTTGAGCTCTAAGATCTTGTTGATTCACGACAACGCCCGGCCCCACACGGCAAATGTCACTCGTAAAGTTTCTTGAATCTTTTAAGTGGGAGTTTTTCCTCATCCGCCGTACAGTCCCGACCTGGCACCGAGCGACTTCCACCTATTCCCAGCAATGAAGAAGAGGCTGGCTATGCAGCGTTTTGATGACGACGCACAGCGCAAGAAGAGGTAACGAAGTGGTTGAAGGCGCAGGCGGCCGAATTTTTCGACGAAGGAATTTCCAAGCTCGTACATCGCTACGATAAATGCCTTAATTTGTATGGTGACTATGTAGAAAAGTAGTATTTGAGTGTGGCTTTCATCTGTATATAATAAAATTTGTTTCCTATACTTTGTTTATTTTTTTATTCCAAAACGTAATCTACTTTCTGGATAGCCCTCGTATTTGCTTTATACGAATAGCAAATTCAAATATTAATATTTGTTAAAATTCAAATTACTGTTCAAAATAGACATATTAACACAAATTTTTGTACTAGTACACAATATGCTTGAATGAATTTATTTCTGGACTATGTCATAAACTGGTTTCTTTACTACACAAAATGAATGTCTAGCATGAGAGTAATACACGAAAGCAGTAGTCTCCAATTTAAATTGCTTGTGGCCCAAATGCACAAGCCAGATTCCCCCTTGCAAATTAAAAATTGTATTAATAAAATATTTTAAATAAATTTTAAATTTCACTTACTAAATATTTATCAAAACATACATAAACAATAATGATAATTATATGCCAAAGATAAAAAAATCGGATCTGTATTTGTTTTCTAGCACTGAAATCTAAAGTTTGATAACTAAGAATTCAAACACATTGGAAGCTAAATATTAAATTCTTTAACATATATTTCTTTCAAAAAGTTCTAACATGTTTAATTAATAATTAAATAACTTATTTTAATTTAAACTAAAAATAAACAAACTGTCTAAAATTTTAAGTTTTCAGAAAAACCAAGATACACAAAATTTGAGAAAAATAATAGCAATTTAGTATTCTTATTAAATTTCATTATCAACTTCTTTATTTCTTACTAAAGCTTGAGAATGGCATTTTGATGAAGTTTGTAGACATATACAGAAATTATCTTCATGACGGATTTGAAGATGCTCATCAATTCATTGAGTTCTTTTCTCATTAAAACTGTGGAAAGAGTTGTTCACATATAAATATTCCCAAACAAAGGGATTATTCTTGGTGAAAAAATTCATAGCTCAGCATATTTATTTTTGAGAAGTACAAATAAAAGCTTATTGAATCTACATCTTCAAATCTTTCAAAAAGATCTATATCACATTGTAAATTCCTTAGTTCCATGTACAGATTTTCTGGTAAATTATTCTTATTCATTTATAATGGAAATGAAAATAATATGAAATCAGACTTTAAATAATAAAAATTTTAAAATGCCTGCAACACCACATTTGAAACAACTACAACTTTTAAGGTTTTTTTAACTGGTATTAAGCATTTTGATGCTTCATTGAATAACTGACGCATCACTATATAGTGGAAATAAAATTGTATAACTTACTGTCAAAGTAACTAGTGTCATCCTCTGAATCAAGTTGTGGAACAAATTCGGCTTTTTGCCTTAACAGTGAATTCCAGTTGATTTCTTCAAAAAAGGAATGTTCTTTAACTTCTTGAGCACCTCCAGTACCAAGCCGATCCCGAGGATTTTGTTGAAGTAGTTGAGATATTAAATCTTTTGAATCATCTGTAGCTGGCCACTCAGCTTCTGATGGCCATTCAATCTCATCTAAAAGATGATGATGTATAAACTAATATTTTGATTCAGATAGAGGCATTATAAAAATCAAAATAAATCCTGAAAATCAAAATAAAAGAATAAAGTATACAATCAACTCTGAATACTGAGAACTTGGTTACAAAAAGTATTCAGCTGTTATGAACCTCATTTACTGGTCTCGACATACACAGGTAAAGAATACACATTAAATATTCAGGGGGAAAATATGCATATACAGCAGTGAGTTCTTTTAGTGGAATAGACCATTACTCTCTACTTGTACGGGAATAATGAAACTGGTGAGTACTTCCTCATTAAGGATCAGGATGTCAAAGAAATTTTTTTTTTTTCTTTTGGCAAATATTTTCTGTGATGCTGAACATGGTTTTTCACAAACAGGAAAGCAGAAAACAACAGAAGTACAGTTTAAGCAAATGTACTGTAAGCAATATTTTGAAAAAATAAGAATAAAATCCTGATTTCTTTGACTATAAATAAATGTAATCCAAAAAATTTTTGGTTATATGATCATAACACTGATGTCATGTTTTAATCTTTAGAAGCCTCTGGGAGTCTCTCTTCATGGACTGTGCTAAAGACAAAAGTTCAACAGTTACTGAGCAAGAATCAATGTTATGTTTAGAGGTGTGGCTGAATAGCTGGTCAGAGATTGCACTAAGCAACAAAACGCCTACTGCCTTGTCTGAGGCAGTAGGCGTTTGTTGCTTAGTGCAATCTCTGTAAATGTATGAATCTTTTAAACTCTATAAAGTAATGAATCTTTTACACTATCGATTTTAAATTTTTATTATAGAAAAATTTCTTTTACAGATGTATGTCCACATGACAAGATTAGAATCATTTTTGTAACTTTCCATGTTTATATCGAGTGAAAACAAGATAAAATAAAGACATGCACACAAAATAAATAAATAAAATTTAAAAAAATAAAATATAAAGAAGCCAAGAAAAGAGCTTAAAATTTTTGTAATGCACCTCAAATCATTCAGAGATAATTCTGACAACAGTCATGCTGATGGATACCACTGCTCTTAACAAGCATAATCATCAGGTGTCAGACAGCCTGATCTGCAATGATCAAGAGCTAATTCCTCAGTAGATCCCAGCATGCTATGTGTCCTTACAATAATGACTGCTCTTGCAGCATCCATGCCTAATATACCACTATCCTTTCACATGGTTTGAGAAAAATCATATTTTATCTGAAAAGTTTTTTTTTTTTTTTTTTTTGGACGAGTTTCAGTACTAATGAGCAAATTTATGCAACTGTTTGCAATGCACAGCTATTAGCATATGTATTGTGAACCAATCGGTCCATTTTGAAGCCTGATTAAGAACACGGTTCGCTGCACGATCATTAAGCATTCAGCATCAACTGAGACTTTTACTGTGGCACCTTGGCTGATTTGTGTAGACTCCAGCCTACAGCAAAAGTTGTCAGCAGTCAACAGACAAATAGCATTTTACAAGTTTGAAAATGTGCCCATAAGGTACATTTTTAATTAATTACTAAATTTAACTTAAAATTCAAAAATATAAAACACTCAATAATTTAAAACACTTGTTGTAAATTACATGCATATTTAAATTAGAGATTTTCATTTTATTACTCATAAAGAAATATCACTAAATACACTAATATATTACAGAAGCAAATATTTTACACTACAAATAACTGCAGAGGATATTAGAATCCAAAAACTGTATACCAATGAGGTTTTTATATTTTGATTTCATCATGGAAGTATATAATAATAATAATCATAATAATAATAATAATAATAATAAATAATAATAAACAACAAACAAAATTCTAGACAGAGACAAGAAACAATGTACAGATATAGTATAATGTTCAGATAATCATCAAAAACAGTACTTTAATTCATAAATTACAATTGTAAAGATCATTCATTTGAATTTTTGTTTACTTTTTCAATAAGAATGGCTTCAAGAATTTTTGCTAGAAAAAATTCTTTCCATTTGAATTAAGTATTTTTTTTTTTTTTTTTTTTTTTTTTTTTTACTGTGGCAGTAAACACTGCATTTAAATGCTGTTTTGAATGGTCCAAAACTGAAATTGGAAGGTTGTGTTCAATTAAAAATTAAACTAACCAGAATTAGGCTTTTATAACATCAGTTCATTGCCTTTTTTAAAGAAATTTGGTACTTCTTTTGATTTTATAGCACTAATTTCTTTATGCCTTTTACAAACCACATACCGTTTACAGTTACCTTCTTCACTATACACAACTGAAAAGTCTTTATGCATTTAAACTTTAGGTGCTTTAATGCACTGAAATTCCCTACAATATCAGTCTACATTTTGGACTTCATAATTTTCACCTCTAATTTTGAGGTGGTATAATTAACAAACATAAAAAACTTCCAGTTTAATCATGCTTGTTTTGAAAGATAAGTGTCAGAAAGCTTAAACTATGTTTAGACACTCTTCAAAATAGACAAGACCATCAACTTAATATGTAACACATGACATCACGAGCATTTCACAGTCACTGATGGAATAGTTGCTTTGGTTTACCATACTATTTTCCTTTCAGTAAATTCCCCCCCCCAGGTCTCAGTTTATAAGGAAATTCTATAGAAACTATGGACAATCCATAGTAACTGGATCCAAAATAACACACAAATCAAGCCAGCATCTAGATTCAAAGAAACACAATCTCATCAAAACTTTCCCTTCTTCCAGGTTTAGTATTTAGCCAGTCAGTATAACACAAAGCTTACTGTTTCTAAAATGCAAATAGCCTTGGCCTGATTACAAATAATCAAGACTTTTCTCTAGTCTTGATCAGTCTCTAGTCTTCTCTAGCCTCATCTTAATACCTCAAGTAAAGCTTGCAACCTTTGCCCATAATGAAGGCCATTAGAGCAGACAGGCACATCTTAATACCTCAAGTAAATTCAAAAACTATGGCACATAAAAATATTTATCATAATATAAAATATTTCTGTCCATTGTCTTATTTTTTACCTGAAGAAGCTGCCACACTTGTTCCACCATCGACATGACTCATTGATCTTATATTAAAAAAATATGATGTGGATACCACAACTTCCTTGTATGGCCTTTTAAATTATAGACATTTTTTGCTGCATTCAAACTTATTCCATTAAAGATATATTTCTCCTTCAATTAATTCAGTTCTCAAATCGCAGCAAGGCAAAAATATATAAAAACTGAAAACACCTTCAATAAAAATTGAAAAATATAGAAATACAGTTAAAATTGTTAAAAAAATCTTTTTTAAATTCAAATTATAGTTTCTATTCAAAAAATAAGCAATCTGGCGAGCAGGCAAAAAAGTAGATTTTTCAGTGTACAAAACTAAAAGTTTACTTTTGGTTTACTTGCCAAAAAAAACTGAAGGTGCAGAAACTGATTTCATTCTGCTAAGTTTCAAATGAAAACAAATGCTGTTCCATTAGACTTAGTAGCACATAAACAATTTTTAAATTGTTAATAATCCTAAAACTTTTGCATGCAGATTAACTAAAGGCATAAAAACCTTAACCGGAACATAAGAACATAATCCAATCACTTTTAAAGAAAAAAATGCACAATTTAATAAAATATAAGAATAAAATAAAAAAAAAAAACTAAGCTCACCAAACCGAGTAACAGAGTACATATTTATATACTTTTTGGTGTGACTGATTGCAACAAAAGAGGGGTGCACAACTACATGTTATAGCAGTCCCACATACAAAATTTCAACATTCTGAGATTATTCATTTTTAAGTTATGCGAGATACATGCATAACCATTTTAAATCCATTTTTAATTCATTTTTGGAAAAAGAGACCTTTATTCTGTCCATAATACTGAAGTCACATAAAAACATCATTCAGATGGATTTGAAAGAGGTCAAAATGGATATTTTCATTGAAATATGATACCCGAAAGTTTTCCCCAATTACAATGCTTCCTTTACTTCATACAAGGAAATAAAAAGGTAAATGTATGTGCTGTGGATGCAGTTAGCTGATCAAGATCAAAGGTTCTCTTTTTCTTCCTGTCTCTCTGCAATGTGAAAGCATGGACAAATTTTTCCCTTTGTGTTGAAAAAGTGAGTATTCGTTGTTTAGCACTGATTGTGTTGCAATTTATTATTACATGTTAGATACAGAAAATATGAGTTTTCTCCTCCAAAGTTTAAATATTGTTTTAAAGCAGTATATATATAGTTTATACAGTGTACATGTGTATTACATGCACATTGATATTTAATAATTTTTTACCCGAAACATTGTGTACAGTGAAGTTTTTGATTCATTTAATGAGTTGATCTGTTTTAACTTTACTCTCATTATTAAGCAAAGTTTGATTTTTTTAAATTGATCTCCCTTTGTTTAAACATTACCTAATATTATTTATTTTTTAAATTTATTTATTTATCACCAAGTCTCAAAATATGCTTAAAACTTTAAAATTAGATCCATTTTTTACTTTTAATTCTCCCATTTTCCTTCCCTTAGCCAGTTCCACGTGTTTTGCTTATTTAAATTGTAGGATCAGGAGCTTACTAATAATAAATAAGCATCTTTTCACATTCCTGATGTGTAATCCCGACACGTGTGTGATTCATTACATATGTGCATACACTGGCCAATGAATTAGAAACCTTTGAGATTTTCATTTGAATGTGTGCTAGGGATAAAGTATGTAATTTTTTTTTTTTTTTTTTTTTTAAGACGTGGTTTACACATGGTTAGAATGTTAGTATAAGTAAGGTGCAAGAGCGCTTTTCACAATGAATAAAGTAAAATGGAAAAAATTATAGATCTTTGACCATTTGAAAAAGGGCTTATTGTGCCTGTTTAGCAGGGGCCTCAATTTTGAAGATGGAAAATCTCGTTTTCAAAAGCAGCCATATCAAAGGTTTTGAAAAGATGGAATCAGAACCCACAGTCCTTCTCTAGAAGATGTAACTGCAGTTCGAGCACAGTTTTCCAAGAGAGTGATCGGCGACATCTCTGATGAATTGTACGGCAGAACAGGGACTCTAATGAGCTTCATCTGACACAGATTGTCAAATAAGGCTCTTCCCAACAGATTTCAGCTCGAACCATTTGCAAATGATAGGAATGCATAGTCAAATGCCTGTGAGAAAACTAGTCATTTCTGCCCAACATGCAAGAATTTGTTTGGAGTGGTGTCGGGAAAGAAGACAGTGGGCATCTGAAGATTGGAAACAGGTAATGCAGTCGGATGAATCCCACTACACCTTATTTTACACTGATGGAAGATGTAAAATTTGGCGAGACCCCATGAAGCCATGAATCCATCTTGCAATACTCTTACTGTAAGAGTCTGGTGGGGGTATCATGATATAGGACATGTTTTGCTGGCATGGAAGTGGTCCCTGGTGTTCCTCAAAGGTAAACAAAAAGCCATACGCTACCTAGATATGCTGGCAGATCAAGTGGACCCTGCAATATTGCATTTTTACCCTGATGATTATACCCTGATGGTGATATTCTGATGGACAATAATGCAACTATACATCATGCCAGAAGTGTTCAAAATTGCTTACTGAATTTCAGTCAGACTACCAACACCTTCCTTGGCCACCGCATAGTCTGGATCTTAACCCCATAGAAAATGTGTGGGATATGGTGGAAAAGCGCATCTGACAACAGTCTCCTCTTCCATCTAATTTACAAGATCTAAAAAGCTACATAGCTGCATGGTTTTATTCTCTGAACATAAATGTACTCCAGAACCAGGAAGACTAGATGCCCAAATGAAACACCACAGTTATCCGTGCAAAACGTAGTTCAATAAAATATTGATCTTGGGTTTCTAATTCATTGGCCAGTGACTGTATGATGCCTGCACTAAGTGATCACAGTAATAATTGCCTCGACTTTTACATACAAACAAAATAATAACTAAACAAAAAATTGGCTACATAATTATAAACAAATGCAAAAAGCGGCAAAAATAAAATTGCAGAAGTTAAGTAAAGCAAAAAGTAAACTACATTTAACACGTTGAGCACGGCGCCGAATTTGCTGTCTTTTCCGTTCAGCCAGCAGCGAGCTAAGCTGTAAAGCTAAGCCATATTTTTGTTTAGAATGTTTCAATACATTTCATTAAAACTAAATTTGATCACATTTCATTGAGACTATATTTATTTTTTTAACTTTAATACTGTCGGTCCTGTGGACTGACGCCAGCCAAACGAGAATTCAAGAGCCGGTCTCCAGGGACCAACGCCGGCCACACGGAAAGTTCACTGCTGTGCTCAACCTGTTAAAGAGTAAGTAATAATGTGACTTAACTCTACATTTTTACAACGTCTATGGAAGAAAGCTAAAACAAAATATAATGCTAAAACTGCAATACAAATAAAAAAATCAACAAACAATAAACATAAATACAAAGAATTCAGAATTTTACATAAAATACAAAGAGGAAGATGCAGAGCTTAAATTGTGCCAGAACCTGGCTTAGGTACTTCTAAGTTTCTGAGGTAAACAGTAATTCTAGCTGAAGCACACTGCAGCACTAAATAAAAGAGTTGCAGTACTTCTTTTATGTAAGCAAAACACAGTTTCAGTAGAAAAAATTTATTTTAAAAACAAATATACCTCTAAAATTAAATACAATTTTCAAATTCATGCCTATATTCTTTCTCTGGGCAAGAAACACTTTGATGGAGGTTAAGACTTTTAACCTTTTAACTGTCATGCCCGAGATAGCACTGGTGTTCGAAAATGTCACGCCCGAGTATTTCTCGGGGTAATTTTTTTTTTAGCAATTTTACTAGTTCTATCATGAAGCAATATGAAGTTATATATGAAGAAACTCACCGTTAATAACATGTGCAAAAAGTTCTTCTGGGGTTTCTCCAAAGAAAGGAACACAACCAACAAGAAATTCATATAAAATTATTCCCATTGACCACCAGTCTACAGGTTTACCTACAAGAATTTTTACATGAAGAGAAATTACTGAATTATTATAACATGTCAGAATAGATTCATATAGTTTCAAGTTTTATAAAATTTATTATTTCAAAGATCAATGTGTATTTTTAGCATCAAAAGGCCATGCGCATATTTAGTATTCACTGGTTTTTAAGCCAAAATTGTTATTTTAATGTTAACATCCATTAAACCTTTATTTTTAATAGCTGATCTGTGGAAACATTGGAAATTTTATTTTACTTAAGCTGACTGCTCAGCTTGGTTTACAATTAATGTTGACAGTTTTGAATGCTTTAAACAAGTGGTTCTCAATGAAGGTGGTACAGTTCCCCAGGGGACAGTGGAAGGGTACTGAGGGACGATGAACTTGTTTTGGGTGGCAGGGGGTAGCGAGCTTATTTTTGGGTGGTAGGGAGGTGATAAGGTAGCCGCTTGTAATATATCAACATAAACTGCTAAATCGGGAACGCTCATACCATGGGTGAAAAGTCGATATTGCCTGCTGTCAAGGAAGTTTTAGAAACGATTTTACATCATCCAGCCACATCCAATATAAAAAATGGCCTATTAAGCAATGATAGAGTGTGATGATGAACTGATGACATAGCAGTTGCTGAAGCTTCGTTTTGCAAACTTTTGATAACCACCGAATTTTCTCTTCAGGTTGATGAATCGACCTTGCAAGGTACTAATGAGGCTTTACTGCTAGCGTATGTCCAGTTTGTGAAGGAAGGAAAAATTATTCAAGAGATGCTTTTTGCAAAAAATTTGATTGCAGATACTAAAGATGAATCTATTTTTATACTGTCAAAGATTATTTTAATGAGAAAAATATTCCTCTCGCGAATGTCTGTCACCATCGATGGAGATCCTGCAATGATAGGTCGTCATCATGGGTTCATCGCCCTTTTGAGAAAGTGGTACCAACACTTTTAGCTGTTCACTGTGTGAATCATAGACAGTAATTAGTTGCAAAAAAATCAGCAACTGTTTGCATCAGTCATCAAAATATGCCATCTCTACTGTGAATAAAATTAATAGTAATGCTCTCAGCAATCAATTATTTGGGCAGCTGTGTAAAGACAATGATGAAGAATTTAGGCACTTGTTTCTACACACCGAGGTTCACTGGCTTTCCTTGCCTCAATAGGATCTGGAATATTTTCAACTCTGTACTTGAGTTCTCGAAGAGTAATATGCAGGTCTAAAAGAAAAATTGCTAGAATTTAAGGCTGATATTGCTTACATGATCGATTTATTCACAAAATTCATTGGAATTAAATTGCAACTTCAATGTGTAGAGCTCAATTTGATCACAACAAAATCTGTTATTTCTGCTTTCCTAAAAAAACCCACTTTGTGGAAGCAGAATTTTGGTCACAATGAGTTCAGCCAGTTTCCAGATTCTTCTCTAAATCAACTAAACAGAGTGAATCCCATTTGATGAAACATGTGTTTACTATCAACACCTTTAGTCTTTACACAAGGACTTTTCTGAGCAGTTTCAGGATATTTTGTATCTGAAAGTCCCTCAGTGGGTCATGAACCTTTTTATGAATATTGACACAGCAGAGATTCAGCTTCAGAAGGAAATTGTCGAATTTTCAACTAATAAAACTTTAAAAGCCAGCTTCCAGAATGGTGACCATCTCACAGAATTTTGCCTTCAAAGTAACATTAATCGCCTCAACCCAGGATTGTGGACTACCGTCAAAAATTTTTCAATTTCCCTTCTGCCTACCTCATTGAACAAGGAATCAGTGCTGTGATTGATCTAATTAAAAAAAGAGAAGTCGACTCCAAATTGTGGAAAGAGGGGATTTGCCCCTTCATATCTCTAAAAATACTGAACTGAACATTCAGAAACTGGCTCTGTACCATTAAGCACAGACATCACACTGGTCATACTTGATTGCTTCATTGACATTACTCTTTTAGTGCATTTTTTAGGCCTCTTCTTCTCTGATTATATAATTAAGAATAAACAATTTTTAAACATGAAACATCATTTGAGCAATTTTTTCTTGCATTAGTCATTTTAGTTTTAACAATAGGAATGTAATTACCTTTCAGGCAAAACTATCAAATTAAATCAAACAAATTTGGTATTTAAGTCTACCGAAAAAAATTACTTAGAATTTTTTCCTTTTAAAATTCAAGAACACCCCTTTACCATACCTAAATAACAGGATTTTCCCAAAAGAGGGGCGCTGAAAATTTTTTGCTCCTTAGGGGATTCTCAACCTTTTCGAAGCTGCTGACTAGGAGGGCGTCAGCTTCAAAAAGGTTGAGAATCACTGCTCTAGATTGTTTCAATTTTCTAAAATGTAGATAACTTAATTATCCCAATAGTTCTGCAGAGAAATGACTAGTCAAACATGATGATGATGCAAGATTTAGACAAAGATAATGTGACACATAAATAGCTATTCAGTGATTCCGGATTACTGTAAAAGATCTCAAATCATGGCAAATCATATTTACAATTAATTGTTTCTTTATAAAACAATGAAAAAAGATCCAACAAATTAAAAAAATTCCATAGAAAACAGGCTTTAAACATTTATATTATCAAAATAAAATAATGTGAGATTGAAAGTGACTTTGTATATAACATAAATTAACAGGCATGTTTAAAAACAGTAGCAATTCTGAGTAACAAAAATATTTCATAGTATACAGGATTAATATATATATAAGATATAGCAAAATACGATAGCTGTTTTAACCACTTGCGCTAAAAAGACGTGCCAAGCACGTTGCGATGCTTTTGTCTCAGACTGCATGAAGATAATATGTATTATGCTTTCATAAATAAACTGCTCGACATTGAAAATGCAACACCAAGAAGGAGTGGTCAGAAAGTGATGAAATTTGGGTGAAAGGTCAGGAGAGTTCGGTGGCCAGAGAAGTAAGTATCTGTATACCTTGCAGAGCATATTGGTAGATGTGAGCACTATGTGCTCGGGCGTTATCCTGCTGAAAAATTGCATTAGGCAGCCCCTGAAGGTAGGGGATTGCCACCGGCCGCAGTACATTATCCAAGTATCATTGGGCCATCATAGTGCCCTGAATACAAACTAGAGGTGACCTGGAATCGTAGGCAATAGCACCCCAAACCATTATGCCACCTTGTCGTGCGGTGGGGCGTTCCACAGTTACTGCCAGATTAGATCTGTCTCCACTTCGACGCCATACACGTATCCGACGACTGTCACTGGATAAACAGAAGCATGACTCATCTGAGAACACACGTTTTGCCATTCTGTCATCCACATCGCTCCAGTCAGGCACCATTCTAAACGTTGGCATCTATGCTGTGGGGTCAATGGCAGTCTTCTTTACGGACGCCGTGAGTGGAGGCCACGTTCAACCAATCGACGGGAAATGGTTCTGGTCGACACGGGAACATCCAGGGCATCTTGCACATGCTGCAAAATTGCAGTACAAGTGACTTGCGAGACTGCCACAGCTTGTCGGCGGATGCTTCGATCCACGCATGCTGACGTCACTCTGGCTGCACCTGCACTCCTCCTTCTTCCCACATTTCCTTGTTCCAACCATGTTCGCCATAGCTGATGCACCGTGCTCGCATCCATGTGGGTATCAGCTGCAATTTGACATAAGGACCAATCCGCCCTTCTCAGTCCGATCACCATACCCCTCGTAAAATTGTCTGTTTACTGGAAGTGCCTTCGTTAATGGTGGCCTGGCATTCTCTCCTATTATACGTATCCTCCGGGACAAAAACCAACTTTCTTCGATAATTCGTATGGCAGAAATAATATTGCCCATCCTGCACGTTCCTTCCCCTATATCTTACTTCACGTGCGTCGGAGAGCTGCGCATTTCACATCATTCGCATAACTCAGTGACGTGTGTCTACTCTAAAATTTGCATAAATTTCTGACCACTCCTTCTTGGTGTTGCATTTTCAATGTCAAGCAGTGTATGATGCGCAAAAAAAAAAAAAAAAAAAAAAAAAACTTCTATACACAAAATTATATAGAAAATTAAGTTACATAATTATCATTAATATTTTCTCAGGGCCTACTATATAATAAATAACTTGTGTTGTTTCACCCAATCATCACCTGGTTTACAAAAATAGATAATCAAGGCAGAATCTCTTACATAGGCTTCCTTCTCAATTTGTTTTCCAACATAGTGGATATCTCTGATGTGAGTTACATAAATCATTTCATGATGTAATCTAAAAATTCAGTACTTTTATTTTTTAAGTTTTTAAATGTTCTGTTTTCATAATTTCAATTTATTATGTAATTTGTAATGAATTTTAAACATTTAATAAAATTTTCAAAAAATCCTAATTTTATAAAATCTAGAACTGAAAAAGAGATATGAAAACCTGACATATTTTAGATACTATATCAGGATTTATAGGCTTTTTGAAAATGAAGGCCTGAGGCAAATGTGCCATCTGTTCTTGTATAAGTCAGGTCCTGAATGAAACTTTTATTTGGCAATTTTGCTCAAAATGTAGAGAACATTTTAGAGAAATATTTAATCTTGATCAAAATGATACATTAAAAAGGAATTTCCCAACTTCACAAGCTTTGCATCCAAAGGTGAGGAACACTAACCAAAACTTGATATATTTCTCTAATTGAGCATTTTGCTCTATGACAACCATATACAAAATTTTGTATTTTAAAATTATTCTATCCGCAATGAAGATACATGTTTTTGTTAAAATGTTTATGAAATAAAAACAAAAATCAACTTGAAGGCGGATGTTGATTTTATAGATTGCCTAATTTTCACTTAATTCTACAGACGCTTATGTATGTCTTTTCCGAGTATACTTATAATATCTGTATGATTTGCTTTGATGTATTTCCTTAAAATAAAGTTAAAAAATTTCTTTTTACGAAAATTATTATTCCGTGAGAAAGACTTCCCAAAACTGAAAGCAATATATTAACAGCAGAACCTCAAATGTTTCGTTCATCATTTCTGATTCTGAAT